TTGGACTTAGAGTGTTGCAGAATTTAGCTGGTGTGTTGCAGGCCTGCAGGCTTCGCATTTGCGAAGCCTGGCTCGCAAATGCAAGTTCACAAATGCGAAGGCTATGTCGCAAATGTGAAGTAGCCCAGGCCAGCACTTCCTCGCAAATGTGAACCACATATCCAAATGCAATGTCCCCTGCTGTGGCCAGTCGTTGCAAATGCGATTCCTCCATCGCAAATGCGACTTCGCATTTGCGACAGGTCCATCGCAAATACGAAGGAGACCTGAAAACTGGTTGTGTCGCAAATGCGAGCTTAGCAGACTTCTGGGTTTGCAATTGCGAACCCTGGTCGCAATTGCGAAATCAGAGACCTGCAAAATCCATACTTAGACGAATTTTTAACCATTTTTCACATCTTCTCAAAACGTAAACAATCTAGAGCGATTTTTCAAAGGCAACTTCTTCTCCAAATCAATTGTAAGTCGTTTCTAACTAGTTTTCTTCAATCCTTAACATCTTTTCACATGATTTCAACTCAAAATCAATGATTTTCATGGGGGAAATTGGGTGCTTTGGGTAGAACCTAGGTTTTTCAAATTTTAGGGATTTGGACCTCGATTTGAGGTCCAATTTCAAAACAAATTATATATTTGAGTTCGTAGGTGAATGGGTAGTCGGGTTTTTGATCGAACCTCGGGTTTTGACCATGTGGGCCCGGGGTCGATTTTTGACTTTTTGGGAAAAACTTTAGAAAACTTATTTTCATGCATTAGAATTGGTTCATTAAGCATTTATTTATGTAATTAAGTAACTTGTGACTAGATACGAGCGAATTGGTGGTGGAATCAAGAGGTAAAGCTATAGTTGAGGCTTCAATTGTGTACGAGGCATCGAGGTAAGTGTTTGGTCTAACCTTAGCTTGAGGGAATTGGAGTTTGGTCGTATATTCTATGTGTTATGTGTTGAGTACGATGTATAGGCATGGTGACGAGTATCTATACATTGGTGTCAAGCATGCCCGTGAGTCTTATGTTGTGATTAATGTGACTTCGTTTGTATTGTTCATTGCTATTGTTGAGCAAGGTTTGTGGAAATAATATTGGTATTTGTATATTGAAGAGCGTTGGCTTAAGTTGTAAAGTGAATTGTGGAAGTATAATTGGCAATTGGACCCTGTAGAGCATTGGCTCAATTTGTGAACCAAGTTGTGAGGTAAATGTGAAAATGAGAAGAGAATTGTGGTATTTATCCCTTGCCGGGACGTTGTGGTTTTAATGTTGTTCCCTTGCCGGGATTTTTATTATGATTCATTTATTCCTTTCCCTTATTGTTTATGTTTGTTATTTGGGTGAGGAAGAGTATAAAGCACGAAGGGTGATGCCGTGTATTATTATCAATATTTGTGAGGAAGAGTGTAAAGCACGAAGGGTGATGCCGTGCCGCACGATGTACCATTCTGTGCCGACTATATTGATATTATGGTGAGGATGAGAGTAAAATCACGAAGGGTGATGTCGTGCAGTTTATATTGATTTTATGGTGAGGACGAGAGTAAAAGCACGAAGGGTGATGTCGTGCACTTGTTTGATCTCTGATTCTTGTTGATAATTGAATTATGGTGTTCCATATATTTAACTGATGTTCTCCTGTTGCTATTTGGTATTTCCCCGCAACATGTTTCCCCCTCCCATCCTTGACTATATATATTTCTGCTTTTATTTTTCCGTTGTACATTATTTATCTGCACAGGTTTATTTGGTAGTCTGGTCCTAGCCTCGTCACTACTTCGCCGAGGTTAGGCTAGGCACTTACCAGCACATGGAGTCGGTTGTGCTGATACTACACTCTGCACTCTTTTGTGCAGATCCCAGTGTTGCAGATTTTGGACCGCAGTGAGGTTTCAGCTTCTTGCTTATCAGGCGACCCAAGGTAGTTCTGTAGGCGTCTGCAGGCCTTGGCATCTCCCTCTATCTATCCCAAGGTAGTTCTGTAGGCGTCCGCAGGCCTTGGCATCTCCCTCTATCTATTTTCCTGCTTCTCTTATGTAGTTCCAGAGACAGTATTTTGTTATTTCTTTCAGACCTTTATTTGTAGTACTCTTAGACAGTCTGTGAAGTTGTGACACCAAATCTTGGGTGGTTTTGGTTATGGGACGGTATTAGTAGTACTATTAAACTTGAAATATATTCTTCCGCTTGTTAAATTATGCTGTTTATTAATTGTTGGTTCTAAGTTGTTAATGAATTTAAAAAATGGAAACAAGTCAAATAATTCAGTTGGTTGGCTTGCCTAGCTTTCACTAGTAGGCGCCATCACGACTCCCGAAGGTGGGAAATTCGGGTCGTGACAATGAGGTGGACATTGTGTTTGATGTGAGTCTGCTTGGGGATATTCTTAAAGTCCCTACGATCGGTGTGTCTACTGTGAAAGATGCGTGTGGGTCTAACTTCAGGAATGTTGTGGTAAAGGATAATGCAAACCAAAAGGGGGACCAGGTTCACAAGAAGGCATTACTCCCTGTTTATCAGTTGCTCTTCGAGTTGGTGAACAAAGTTCTGTTACCCCGTGCTGAGAGGAGGTCCATGACTTCCAAGTCTAACTTGTTTTTAATGGAGAAACTGGATGGATTTACGCCTGTGAACTTGCCTGCCATCATGATCGAACAAATGCAGAAGGTAGCAACCTTCAAGGATGGCAATCATGGTCTTCCATATGGGTTTCTACTTACGCAAGTGTTTAAGTTTTTCAAGGTGCCACTGGGCAAGTCAAGGTAGGAACCAAGAAGCAGACCTTCTCTCAAACAACTTTGGAAGAATGTGAGTGCATCGAAAAGAATGGGGGGGGGGGGGGGGGGTTTAGACAGTACATCAATAATCTCTCAGCTCATCAGTGCTCAAAATAGTGCAACTAAAGAGATTCGAAGGTTGAAGGCTAGGAATGCTATCCTGGAAGGTCAGCAGGCCCAAGGGGCCCTAGAGTCAAACGAGGAAGGGGTTTGTTTGACAAAAGAAAATGCTGATCCCAGGGCACAAGTGGAGAACCTGAAAGCAGAACTGCTCAATGAGCAAAAGTCAGCAAATGCCCGAATAGACCTAGTTCTCCAAAATCTTGCTGCAACATCCAAGCCCTCTACTCCTAGTGCTCCCTAAGCAACCCCTTCAGTTACCAGTTTCTGGATTGTCTATTTTTGTTTTTATGACTTGGCAGATGTTTTTGTTTCTTTTGTTTTGATGTGGATGTGATGTATCAGTTACTGCTCCCGATTTCAACAGTCCAATTTTTCCTTTGCTTTATAAGCAAAGGCATATGTTTTATATATAAAAAACTATCCTCTTTTGTTATCTAAATGCTTGTACTCTCTGCTTCTCTTCTCTATCATGTTGTGTGCATATATGTGGCATGAGTTAGCTAGGCTAGATTTCTTTATGTTGTTTCCTGCTTGTGTATTTTTAATGATGCCAAAAGTGGGAAGTATAATTGAAACAAGGATCTGATTAAGGCAGAAGCATAAAGTTAGGGGGAACTTGTGAAGTTCCTGTTACTTCATCTGGTTATTTCTACTCTAAATATATGTTATCAATGTCTAAGTTTGTCATCATCAAAAAGGGGAAAATTGATGGGTTTTCAATGTCTTTGCCTTATGTTTTGATGATCTAACAAACTTACTGTCAAGAACCAGATAGGGAACCTAACACACTTGGTACACATTGCTAATGAACGGATCCGGCCAGAACTCCAGCTAATGTGAACTGCTGCAAGTGTAGAAAATAGAGAAGCAAGACAGGGTCCTGATCCCTTGTGTTTCCCTGACAGCAGTACAAAAGTCAACTGTGCACAGCTGGAAAGTGACTGCCACAGAAATAGTGCAGCAGTTTTGCAGTCACTTGTCCTTTTACCAACCAAGTGCTTACATCATTCAAGTGATGTCATCAAAGGTGTATTAACAAGAGTATTACAACAAAACATAACTTGAACACTTGAGAATTCACTTCAAGCCTTCTGAGACAGTGAACTTAATTCTTAAGAGCCTCAAGAACAAAGTTAAACGCTACTACAGACCAGTTCCTAAATCTAGTATTTTGTTGTCCTTAGTTGAGTTGTAACTTTGTAATTGTTCTTCATTGTAATTCCTAAATTGCTTAGCTAGAAGCGTTACTTAGGAACCCTTTGTAAAATCATAAACCCTTTGTGTTTGTTTCGTGACTAGAGTTAGTGATGAGTTAAAGTGTTGGTAATAGGTGTATTGCAAAGTGGCTTGTAATAGGTGTATTACGAGTTAGTGAGGGATTAAGAGTTTAATTCCTAGATTGCATAGGTTGTAATTAATTTAAAAGTTGCTCATAGTGAAGTTAAATTCCTACCAGTGTAGGTCGTGGTTTTTTATCCCCTTGAGCAGGGATTTTTCCACGTAAAACTCCCTGTCTTATTTACTTACTGTTTTATTAGTATTCTCAAAGGAAACTCATAGAGGACCTGGTACTCTATAATTTGGTGGACTCATATAAACTATCATAGACCGAACTTAAACGGGCCAAAATGAGTCAAATTAATTGATGGCGAGTAAATTGCCCGGCTTATTTGGGTTAAAGTGGATCGAGTTAAAATATGCAAAATAACGAATCATAACCCAACCCGCATAATATTTGATCTAGAGACATCCATAAAAATTCTCAACGAATCATAACACAAGTCTAATGTTGTCATTCTCAAACTATCCATTTGTAATAAATCTATTTTCAAACTGCATCATCATTCGTTAGCTCAAGAATCTCTTTTAGGTAACGGGTGTTCTCTGGTATTATGGATTGATCTTTTCTTTACATTTGTTATATAGCATGTATTTTTGTATGGTTTAATTTTTACTCGTCGTCGGATTCTGTTCTACTTTACATATCGTGATTTTCTGTCTAAGAATATCTCAAAAGAAAATTTAGGTACTAAATGAATATTTCTTATCCGTAAGTAAATGAAAAGGAAAAGAAAAACAGAGAAAAGGAAATCGTGGAAGAGACAGTACTGAACTAAATAAGATACTAGTAGAATATGTATTATATATCGAGATTGGATTGTATCATAATACAACCAACCCCAAAGTTTTATTACAAGACTCGAAAATAGAAAGAAAGAGACAACAGACACGACCCATAATTCAGCACATGATCAAACTCGATCCATGCATCTTATTCTTCTCCACATGATTGCGCTACCACCATCAACCAAGAAACTTACTGGACCCTGCATCGCCACGTTAGATTAAACCAACATTAACTCTATGAGAAGGGAGCTTTTGCATAACTATTAAAGTTGTTGCTATGTGATCAGGAAATCACGGGTTCGAGCCGTGGAAATAGTCTCTTGCAGAAATGCAAGTTAAGGCCATACAATAGACCCTTGTGGTCCAGCCCTAGAACCCGCACATAGCGGGACCTTAGTGCAACGGACTACCTTTTTTTTTTGTTACATATCTAGAAACTACATAAAAAGTACTATAAGTCACAAAATTTAATAATTCAAAATACTTAAAAAAATATTACTTATTTGTCATATTTCTGCAACCCAAAATATATTATATTATAGTAGATTAGGGTGAATAATATATAACATACTTGTTGCAGTCAGTGGAGAGGCTCATCTTGAAGGGAATGTTGACGCCACAAGCAGCACCGATACCAGCAACTTTGCCCAAATCAATGCCTTTGAGAACACTGTAAGCTTTTTTTAAACAAGTGCATGCAGTCCTACGATCCTGTGTGGTTTTCGCTGCACTCACTAAAGCTTGAATGACGTTACAGCAGTTTCCGAGAGGGCCACGATTTTGCGTATAAGGCAGGCAACTAAGCATGGCACCCTGAATCGTGCCGCAGGTAAATGCCGCCTCTGCATATGGTGCAGTCATCACCATGCACAAAACCACGACGCATGCAATCTTTCCGACCATATCCATTGAAATATTAGAGAAGATAAAAACTATATAGCGAGTAGCTTAGCTTGAGGAAAGTAGTGGATATGATACTATAAATGTTTTGCTTGTGTGTTGGGTGCAAAAGCTAGTGAGACCTTGAGGGTTTTTATAGAGAGGAAATTGGAACTAAATTAATGGCCGCACGATGTATGTATGTAGTAGCTAGAGAATTATTAGTTGCTATAGTTAGGTGAAACTCCATGCCTTTTGACAAGGCCATAGCTTTTGTTCAAATATTATACTTTCTTTGTTTCAATTTAGATGATACACTTTCCTTATTAGTACGTCCCAAAAAGAATGATACATTTCTACAATTGAAAATAATTCAACTTTAAATTAACTCTTCATTTTACGCATTTACTCTTAAGCTTTTATAACCATACAATGTCATGACTCCACAAAGGTTTTAACCCTTGAGCTTTTAAGACCATAAGTTTCAAAAGTCTTTTTTTTTTCTCTTAAACTCTCTGATGAGTCAAACTACCACATCTAAATTAAAACGGGGAAAGTATTTGTATTAAAAGAATCATTATATATATATATATATATATATATATATATATTAATGTTAAAATATATATATATATATATATTAATGTTAAAAATCAAATTATTAAGTACTTAAAGTTGTCGTTCTTCTAAAATAGAATCCATAAAATTAGAATTTTATCTTCGCCACTACAGTTTTTTTTACGTACGTGTAGATCATTTTATGAACCACGTCAAGATTGGTAGCGATATCCTTAAAGATTATGCTCCTAATGGAGACCCCTTAGTGACACCCCTTAGTGAAAATTCTGCTTCCGCTACTTCCACCCTCAACCTTCACTCTATGATCAAGTTCATTCTTCAATCTTCTACAAATGTTGAATAAAAAGGTTTGAATCCAGATATAAGCCCTAAAATAAAATTATATGTGCAGGAAGGTGTTAGAGAATACACTTATCCCTTGTTAATTGTGTAAGAGTTTCCAAACGGTTTACTGTGTTCTAGGCACTCCACAAGCTATTGGGTTGAATTTGAATATTCACATTCTTTCACAAAACTAACACCTGACTTCTTACATTTCTTATTTTCCTTATATGTTCCACAAAGTGCTGTTTTTGCTGGACCGCCTATTCAGATTTGTATACTATCGCATGCTAAAAAAGTGAAAGTATACAAATTATATACAAAAATTATATAAATTCTATATTTTTTTTTGCTATCAAATGTAAATAGTTTCTGATAAGGGCTAAAAGTAATAAGTAATACCTAAAAATAGCGTTTATTTGCCACTTTTGCCCATATTTTTGTAAAATAGCCATTGTCCTGGAATTTCAGATTTCACAAAAACTTTATGACATTATGGTGGAGTTTCACTTGTGGAATTTGAAACTCTAGAATAGTGCCAATTTTTAATAATAGGGATTGAAAAGTGATTGTTTATGTTTTCTTCCGAAAAAAACATGTTTGAATTATGAATTAGTTCTCTAATAATGATCCAACTCCTCTTGGTCCTGGCCTAAATTCGTGTTGGTCCCCAATCTTTGGTCTATCTTTATTTAGTAAAAATTAAGTAAGATCTGATCCAAACCAAAACACGTTAATTAGGCCAAAGAAGAGGAATTCTCTTGAAGCGTAGCCCCAGATGCGATAGTCTGGTGTCTTATTTATACATAAAAAATGAATATTTGTATTAATGTAATATTGCATCTCTGCACAAAAAAGGAAAAAAAAAAACAAATAAAAACTGGAGTTGTGGTATTTTTATTCTTTAACGCACTATAATCAGTGTCTCAAAATTAGATATAGAAAAGCATAATATATATATATGAACCAATTTTAAAACAAATTATTCATCTTTGTTTGCATATCCATGCTAAGGGAGAAGAAAGAGAAGCGGAGGAGAGAGACAGGAAAACTGAAGCAAAAAATTTGGTAACAATCAAACATCACATCCTTTATTTCTGATGGAAAATGTTCCAACTTATAGGGTGTGTTTGGTATAAAGTAAAATGTTTTCCATGGAAAAATTTTTCTAGAAAATGTTTTCATAGAAAATGAGTGGTTTTATGACTTATGTTTCCTTGTTTGGTTGGTGAGTGGAATACTTTTTCCGGAAAATGTTTTATGTGCTCTCCTCCCCTCCCTCCCCCCTCCAAATACCCAACATTTTCAGATCTCTATTTTTCTTCAAGAATTTAATTATTTTTCTAAAAAATCACACAAATACAAAGGAACTAATGTGTTGCATTACTTTATTACGCAAAAAAAGCGTTGAAATTTGTGCTCCATAACTAAAAAGAAAATACTCTTTTTTTTTGTTCAAAAAGAAAGTACTCTTTCTACAACATGAAAATAAAGTACTTATTTTGTTGAAATGAAAGAAAATACTTTTTCTACATCATGAAAAGACGATACTTTTTTTTGTCCAAATGAAACTTTTCTATACATCATGAAAAAAAAAAAATACTTCGTTTGTTGCAATAAAACAAAATACTTTTTCTACATCATGAAAAAAAAAATTCTTTTGTTGAAATGAAAAAAAATACCCTTTTTTACATCATGAAAAGAAACTATTTCTTTTGTTTTTGTTAAAATGAAAAAAACTACTTTGTTATATCATGAAAAGAAAAATACCCATTTGTTAAAAAAAAAAAGGTACTCTGTCTATAACATGAAAAGAAAGTACTATTAATAATATTTTTATTTAGCTTGGGGGTGGGGCGGGATTGGGGG